GATGTGGATTGGGACCTGGTGTGCGGGTGTTGCTTACTGCAGAGCCCTGGTCTTTGCCACTCTCCATGTGGCCAAGGCCTCTGGGGCCTGTGTTACCTCATTGAACCAGAGGTAACACTGAACTGTCAGTGCTGCAGTCATTCAGTGACAGCAGCTAAAACCAAGGACAACCACCTCCCCATGTGCCGTGATTCATCTGCTGCGGTTGGGAACTGGGTGTCTGGTGGCAGGTTATCACCTGGGGGGCACAGGGTGAAGAACTTTCTAGAATGAGGCTCAGGTACATTGCTGATTTTAGTTCTGTGTCCTGTGGCTGTTGGGGTCCCTATGTCTCCCTGTGGTAGGCCCCTGACCCCATAGCTCCTGCCCAGCCCTAGCTGGGTCTTCTAAAACGTTAGGTGGCAGCTGGCAAGGTGGAAGGAGGCAGCAAGTGGTTGCGGCCCCTGCCTGTCACCTCTCTGAGTGTCCCTTGCTGTCCATGTCTGAAGAATGGAGGTGGGGTCCACCTCTGGGTGGCTTGGGGTGACTGCAGATGGTGCTGGCTAGGCTGACTGTGCAGAGGTGGTGGCCATGCGGCTGAAGCCCTGGAGAGGCCGTGTCTGCCATGGACAGAGTGGCAGAGGCCTGGACACACAACACCTTTCAAGCTGGGGTGATTTGGGGCCCACGGACAGCTTCAAAGCTCCTCCCTCTTGGCACAGCAGCCCTGGCCAGTGACCTTCCCTGCAGAGCTGAGTAGACACATACGGGGTGATGAAGCCCCTTCAGCCACCTCCCAGCCTGTGGCTCCTCATCCCTCCAGTGACCCTAGACCACATGCATTCAGGGCAGACTTACTAGCAGTTCTCCTGTCTGGCTTCTCACCCTGTGCTGGGTCAGGTGTAGGTGGTATTTTGAGTTTTGTTGTTGTTTTTTTGTTTGTTTTTATTTTATTTTTTTGGTCATTTTGAGACAGGGTGTCCCTGTAGCCCCAGCTAGTCTGGAACCCTTACGTAGACCAGGCTAGCTTTGAACTTGCACACAGATCCACCTGCCTCTCCTTTCCAAGGGCTGGGATTAAAGGCACATGCCACCACCATGCCCGGCCTTGTTTTGTTTTTTTTTTTGAGACAGTCTCCTTGCAGCCCCAGCTGACCTGGAATTCACTATGTAGACCAGGCTGACCTTGAACTCACAGAGATCTGCCTGCCTCTGCCTCCAGTGTGCTGGGATTAAAGGCATGCACCACTACTCTGGGTTTAAAAAAATTTATTCTTGCCAGGCATGGTGGCGCATGCCATTAATCCCAGCACTTGGAAGACAGAGGCAGGTGGATCTTTGTGAGACCAGGCCAGCCTGGTCTACATAGTGAGTTCCACGACAGCTGGGCTACAAGGAGACCCTGTCTCAAAAAGAAAAAAAATAAAAATAAATGTATTATTATATGTATGAGTTTTCTGCCTACATGTGTGTAAGTGCACCCATGTGTGCATTGCCTGTGGAAGCCAGAAGGGAGCATCAGATCCTCTGCAACTGGAGTTACAGATGGGTGTTAGCCACCATGTGGGTGCTGGGAACTGAACCTGGGTCCTCTGTAAGAGCAGCCAGTGCTCTTAACCTCTAAGCCAGCTCTTCAGCCTCCTTTGTTTACCCTCCTCTCTTCCTTTTTTTGCATTTGTTTCTGTAGGTCATGGTGCACATGTGGAGGTCAGGGGGCAACTTTTGTGAGTCAGTTCTCTCCTTCCACCATGCAGATTCCAGGCATCAAGCTCAGGTCTTCAGGTGTGGTGGAAAGCTCCTTTGTTCACTGAGCTGTCTTGCCAGCCCTGTTTGTTTTTGAGAAGTAGTTCTTACGTAGCCCAAGCTAACTCCCAGTGTAGCGGAGGATGACCCGGAACTCTTGATTGTCCTGTCTCCACCTTCCAAGTGTTGGGGTAGCAGGCATGTGCCACCATGCCTGGCGATGGAGCCCAGGACCTTGTGCATGCTAGGTGAGCACTCTGCCCACTTAACTACTTGCCCTGTTTAGAGAGTAGGTGGTTTTGGTGACCTGTGTTTGTTGACATGCTGGGCATGGAACTGTTTGGAGCCTAGATGCATTCCTTGGTGTGCCTGGGGCCCTTAGAAAGCAAGGCCAACTTAGGCAGGTGGGCCATGCTGGGAGCCACTCAAGGGGAGCCAGTGTCTGTACGGGAGGCAGCATTGGCCAGTAGAGGTGACTGTAAGTCCTGGACAGAGGGACTTGGTAGCCACTGCTCTGGCCTGGCTGAGGAATAGCATTTAGACTCTGGTCAGTAGGAGGCATGATAACTTTTGGTGTGTCACATCTGGGGTTCTGGTGACAGAAGCGAGAAGGAGAGTAGATGGTTCAGGGTGGGAAAGAGGTCAAACCTATTGAATTCTGAAATCAAATCCTTCTCACCATACCATACTTCTTACTAGATAACCTTGGAGCTGATCTTGCTGATCTATTATATTTCAATCTTACAGTGATTCTTTGCTAAATAAACCAACAGAAGGACAGGGAAATGGTAACAGGTGAGATACTGCTCTGGAATAAGGAAATGGTTGTGAAGATAAAGGCAGGGACAGAATGTGACTTTGCAAATTGTAAAGATGTAAAGCTTTAAGGTGTGAGTGTGGTTATTAGTAAGTTCTAACGAAGAAGGTAAAGTTCCTGTGTTTATAGGTAGGTTAGTAATAGAGCCCTCTAAAGGAGTAAAAAGTCTTAAATTGACAGATTCACCTGTGAAGATCCAAAGTGCATGAGATCCCCCCACAGAACATTCCAGAGCCAGGGTATCAGATGGAAATGCTGTATTCGATGTTGCCATTGTTCATTCACCCTGTGCTCCACAGGGGCAAGTCCTCACCTGAGAGAAGTCAGAATGGAGGTGTGGGAGGACAATGGCACTGTGGTCGGTTTCTCATCATATGTAGAGACCGCCTCTCCCTGCTGCAGGAATTCATGAAACCGGCGGATATTCTGCACATGCTCCTTGTGGCGGAATGCCTGGCTTCTTATAGTACTGCTTCTGTTAAGAGAAAATTAGTAGCCAAGTAAATCCCCAACCAAGGAGGAAACTTCTAGTGTACAACCAAGCCACTTTCTGAGATAGCACTCTAAAGCTACCCCTACCACCGCAACCAGTTCTGGCTTCCTCAACTCTTGCTCGGATTACACACGTTTCCTAAATAAGCCCTCAGTCTTACATAAACCACTTTCTTCTATTCTCCACATTAAAGCCTGAGTAATTTTTTTAAAACATAGGTCTGAAATAACAGTAGCAACAGCAATACATAAGGGTCTTTATTATAATGTCAGGCCTTGCTGCAAACATTCAGCAAATATTAATCTATTTCACCACCACTATTTCTTCCTAACTCTGGTTATTTTTTATTTTTTGTCTTTTTGAGACAGGGTCTTCCTGTAGCCCCAGTTGTCCTGGAACTCACTATGTAGACCAGGCTGGCTTCAAACTCACAAAGATCCACCTGCCTCTGCCTCCCAGGTGCTGGGATTAAAGGCATGTACCATCACGTCCGGCTATGTAATTTTTTTTTTTTTATTTTTATTTTCTATGTGTATGCGTGTATTGCCTGCATGTAGGTAAGTGCACCCGTGTCGTGCGATGCCCGGGGAGGTCAGAAGCGACTGTCGGATCCCCTGGGACTGGAGTTATGGACAGTTGTTAGCTGCCATGTGGGTACTGGGTTTTGAACCTGGGTCTTCTGCAAAACCATCCAGTGTTCTTAACTGCTGAGTCATCTCTCCAGCCACTTTTCCACACTTCTGAGGGTACTCACCTACCTGTGGCCCCAGTACCATGGATTCCACACACAGCACACCCAGCCACCTCTTGGTCATCTTCAGAGGCCTAGGTGCTGAGGGAGCAGCCCAAGGGACCTGGTAGTCACCCACAGCTGTGGACATCCAAGTCACAAGTGCCACCAGTCCTAAGGAGCAAACTATTGTGAGAGCAGCCCTGAGGTTTCCCCAGCCATGGCACAGCTACAGAGGTCCTCCCTTCTCATGAGTTCCCACAGAGGCCCAGGGCCAGCTGTCAAACCAGTGGAGTAACCATGCTGTGGACTGGAAAGATGGCTCAGTGGTTAAGAGCATTGGCTGCTCTTGCAGAGGACCTGGGTTTGGTTCCCAGCACCCACATAGCAGCCAACAACCATCCTTAACTCCAGTGCAGGTGATCTGATGCCCTCTTCTGGCCTCTGTGGGTATTGCATGAAATGGGTGCACTTATATGCATGGAGGCAAAACACTCATACACATAAAATAAAGATAATCATCAGATGAAGTGGTGGTCCACATAGCAAGTTCCAGGCCAGCTAGGGCTATAAGGGAGACAGGCCCTTTCTCAAAAAAAAACCATAAATTAAATTTTTTTTTTTTTTTTTTTTTGGTCTTTTTTTGAGACAGGGTCCCCTGTAGCCCCACCTGTTCTGGAACTCACTATGTAGATCAGGCTAGCCTTGAACTCACAGAGATCCGCCTGCCTCAGCCTCCTATGTGCTGGGACTAAAGGCATGCACCACCATGCCCGGCAAATGAATAGATTTAAAAATAAAAATCAGGCTAGGAAGAGTGGAGCACACCTTTAATCCCAGCACACAGGAGGCACAGGCAGGCAAGTCTCTGTGAGGTCGAGGCCAGCCAGGCCTACATAGTAAGACCGTGCCAAAAAATAAGAATTCTAGAGGCACCACAGAAAGCCATGTTGACAGTACAGGGTCACACGCCTGTCCTCAAGAGTCCTGACCTTTGCTTTGCTGATGTAGAGACAGGGCCATACCTCTGAGGGTGGCTCAGATCCAAAACCACGTGTGCAAGAGCCACCTGACAAGTGGCTCTGTGCAGTGCAGAGCTTTCCTTGTGTGCACGTTAGTGTTTCTGGTGCACACCCACTCTTCATCCTCCTGTGTATTAACTGACTAGACACACATGATCCATGTTGATAGTTCATCGAGTGTTGGGGGAGAAAATAAACCAATTTTTCTCTTTGCAGAAAAGCCTGCCATTGCCTCACCCGCCTTTGTGTTTCAGAAGGACAAAGGACAGAAGGTAAGGGCTGCCATATTCTCCCTCCACACCCACCTTACTAGGATGTTCTCTCTCCACTACAAACCCTGCCCCTACGTTGTCCTTGGCCAGTGAGGAGGCTGTGGGGGTCCAAAGCACAGTCCTTTGACCTTGAGCAAGAAGGCTGGCTCGTGACATGGTCCCCAGTTCCCTCCAAGTCCCACTGCCACATTCTAGAATTGTTCTCAGATACTGGACAGTATGTGTGGGGTGCGTGGGAGGAGGGAGGAAAGGGTGGCACCTAAGGGGGACAGCAGGTCCTGGACCAACATTTGTGGGATGGTTGGGTGCAGCACTCACTTAGGGACCCTAGGTTCTGTCTGTAGTACCCACCAGGAGATGTTAAGGAAAGATGTTAAGGGGACTATGTCTCAGCCAGTGCCACACGAGTCGCACCTGGAGTAATCTCTGCTTTGCCTATGCTGTGTCTCTCCATCTGTGTGACGACTCCCCTTTTGGGGCACATGTGTCACCTGCAGGCCATGCGTTGCAGGCCTTGCCTGGTGCGGAGGGCAGAGCCATTGGCCTTTGAAGTATCTGATTGATGCATGTGGATGATGTCTTAGGCAGTAGCCATGGGTGCCACTGTCCACCCAAAAGCTGGTGGTCCGTCCCCCAGAACCGTGGTAGATGTCCGTAACTGCCACACAGATCCCAACCTGTTCAGGATGCCTTGACCTACGGCAGGTCCCCTCGACCCCGAGCCCCTGGCCTGATGGCAGTGTGGCAGTAGTGCTGCACTGAACCCTCTGTATGGGAGGACATTTGATATTTCTTGGCCTGTAGGTGCTCTGCATGACCAGTGCCCAGACTAGAGATCATGCCTACGACAGCCCATTATTGCCTGTGTGTATGTGTGTGTCTGTGTGTTCATGTGTGTGCATGCAGCATGTGGAGAGAGAAGAAGCAGCTGCGCCCCCCATGCCTATGGACCCATCCTGCGGTGGTGATTGAGCTGTCACTCTTCTGTTCCCTTTGCTGATTGCTGATCCTTTGGTAGTGTCAGCACCGGAGCCTGAGAGAGCTGCCCATTTGTTTTCATGACTGAAGTGTGACCTTTGTTCCTGGGGCCAACAGTGCCACCTGGTGCCAGCTCTGTTCCACATATCCCCTGCTTGGCCTTGAGAAGGAAGCTGTGGGTCCAGACTGCTGGATGTGTCGGATGGTGGGTTGTTTGGTTCCTCTCTCTCAGATGGTGGGCGATATCCAGACTTTTCTAGAATTTGAGGTTCTCCTATTCTAGTTTAAACCAGAGCTGCTTGTTGGGTGTGGTGGCCCACGACTTTAATCCTAGCACTGGGAAGGCAGAGGCAGGCAGATCTCTGAACTCAAAGCCAGCCTGAGCTAGATGGGGAGACCCTGTCGCTTGGTCTTTATGAGGTAGGATCTTCCCTGTAGCCCCAGCTGTCCTGGAACTCTCTGTGTAGACCCTGCTGACCTCAACCTCACAGAGATCTCCTTGCTTCTGCCTCCTGGGTGCTGAGAATGAAGACGTGCACCACCATGCCCAGCTTAAATTTTTCTTTCTTTCTTTTTCTTTTTTTTTTCTTCATTAAAAAAAATTATTGGGGCTGGAGAGATGGCTCAGTGGCTGAGAGCACTGACTGCTTTTACAGAGGACCCAGGATTGATTCCCAGCACCTACATGGCAGCTAACAGCCATTTATTGATCCAGTTCGGGGGATCTGATGCCTTCTGACCTCTGCAGGCACTGCACGACAGGGTGCACTTGCATACATGCAGGCAATACGCTCATCAATACATAAAATGAATGAATGAATGAATGAATGAATGAATGAATGAATGAATAAATAAATAAATAAAATTTTTAAAAAATTATTATGTTTATTTTATGTGTATGAGTGTATTGCCTGCATGTATTTAAGTGTAACCCCTGGAACTGGAATTACAGACGTTTGTTAGCTGCTATGTTGGTGTTGGGAATCGAACCTGGGTCTCCTGCAAGAGCAGCCAGTGCTCTTAACCACTGAGCCATCTCTCTAGTCCCCCCAAATTTTGTTTCTTAAAAACTTTACGTGTATATGTGTTTTACCTGCATATATGTATGTGTAGCTATGCATGCAATGCCTGTGGAAGCCAGAAGATGGTGTCAGATCCTTGGAACTGGAGTTAGGAATGGTTATTAACCTCCATGAGGGTGCTGTGACTCAAACTGAGGTACTCTGCTAGAGCAGCCAGTGCTCTTAAGCTCTGAACTAGCTCTGCAGCCCTGAGACCCTATCTCTAAACAGAAAACCAGTGCTGGGGTTAAAGTTGTGTGGCTTTGTGCTGACTCCCTTATAACTATCTTTTTGGTGAACGTTCTGATCCCAGAATGTTAAGAAGCTGTGCTGTCAGCTATGGGAACCGGTGTCCCCAGCTGCGCAGAGGGATGCCTATGAAGAGCACGTTTTCCAACCCTTGGAGACTCCAGAAGACTTGAGATTTGGGCCAACCTGGGCTACAGTGCAAGGCCCAGGCTCCAGAAGGAGCTTGATCATGCTAAAGAAGGGAGCTCTGCCCCTGTGTGGGCCTACCACCTTGGCTGATGACATAGGACCAGAAACAGGGCAGATGGCTTATTGCCAGCCAGGGCGCTTCCAGCATGATTGATGCACAGGGCCATGTGTATTGTGGGGTGGGTGGCTAGCATCATGCTGATATCATGTGTTAGGAGTGTCAGCCCATAGTTGATTTTGTTTTGCTTTTTGTTTATGGATTTTGTTGTTGTTTGTTGACGGTAGTGCTAGGACAGAGTACAGGAGCTTGTGCTCCAGGCCAGCATTCTGACAGTTGTATGCCCCCAACCCAGCTTCTTAGCTGATTATCTGATAAGACAGGTCTCCTGTAGCCCAGGCTGGCTTCAAAATATGTAACCAAGGGTGGCCCTAAACTCTGGATCCTCCTTCCTCACTTCCCTAGTGTTGGGTTAATAGGCATGCATCACTTCTCCTGGTTTGTAGGGTGCTGGTGATGAACCCAAGACCTCGTGCATGCTGAGATGCATCTGTGTTTTGGGTTTTGTTTCTGTTTTTTTTTGAGACAGTCTTATACCAGCCTGGCTTCAAACTCCTGAGTGCTGGGATGACAGTTGTGTACCTCATGCCCTACAGTCCATTGATTCCACAGTAGTCCTAATACACAGAGACTCATGGGCAGACTGGCAGCACAGGGTCCCCCTGAACGCTCCCTGTGTCTCTGTGAGATGTGGGCATTGTGTAGGTGTGAGACTGATCTCTGCCTGTGGACACAGTTCCTTAAGTCTTGCTGTTGGTTGGTTTATTTATTTGTTTGTTTATTTAGGTGGCTTTCCCTATAGTCCTAGCTGGCCTAGAACTCACTCTGTAGACCAGGCTGGCCTTGATTTCACAGAGATCACTTGCCTCTGCCTACTAAGTGCTGGGGTTAAAGGCAGGTGCCACCACGCCCAGCCCTTCTGTTTGATGTGAAGAGTATTTATCCTGCTGTGCTTGCTCCATTGTTGGTGGAGGGGCCAAAAGTAGCAGCACATGTGGGTGGTCAGGCCCCCCCCCCCAAAGCAGGTGCACCGCTGGTGATGGGAGACCTCAGCATAAAGTGGCTTTACATGGGAGCTTTGGAAGGTAACAACACCCCCACCCCCAGTATTCTTTTGGCTGGAGTAGAGAATCCCTGGGTCCCCCACCCCTACCTCAAAGCCTGCTGGGTGTCACACCTCAGGGGAACGAGACTTAACAGCCAGCTTAGCCATCCCCTAGCCTTTCCAAATAAGCCAAACTGGATGTGGTGCCGCACACCTTTAATCCCAGCACTCAGGAGGCAGAGGCAGGCAAATCTCTGTGAGTTCAAGGCCATCTTGGTCTACATAGTGAGTTCCAGGCCAGCTGGGGCTACAGGGAGACCCTGTCTTAAAAATAAACAAAACAACAACAAATAAGTCAAGGGCTCTGAGAACTGCCCAGTCTACCTGCCACTGACAGCCAAGCCATCCCCACCCCACACCTGCCCACCGAGGCCTCAGCAGTGGGGTGTCTGGTTGGAGAGGTTGAGGAGAGCAGCTGAGAGTCCTGGGGGTTGAGTCTTTATCTTGATGTCTCCTCCCTTGGTCTTCAAAAAGGGACCCCTCCCTGGGGCTATAGGCAGAGCTACTGTGTATTGGGTCCTCCATAGTTATGGAAAGGAGCCTGGAGCCTCCCTCAAAACCAAACAGGCAACAACAGCCTGTTTGGCAACAGGTGCCATGTGCACCTCTCTGGTGGCCTGGCTTGTCCCCAAGGACCACACCACCTCCAGACCCTGTCCCCTTCCCACCCTACCATGTGGCCTTTTGTGTACATTGAAGGAAAATTGTCTTTTTTACCCCCCAGTCTTCCACAGAGCAGAAAGACTTGCCAGAGTCGGGAGAGGAGCCTCGGGGGGAGGCCAAGGCGCCCCGACATGGCGCAGGGCCCCCTGAGTCTGCTGGGGAACATGCCCTAGACCCTCCTGCCCCTGCTAGTGCTTCCGCCAGCTCTCCTCCGCCTCCCGCTCCTGCAGCCCGGCCTTCTGGCCTGCAACACCCGGCAGGGGTAAGTGCCCGCCACCCACCCCGGCCCTAAGTCCACCAGAAGCCACTGGTGGTGGGCAGCAGGACCTCCTGGCCCCTCTGTTCATGGCCCTGACCACATGGAAGGACTGAGCCTCTCATGCCTGGGTGTGTGCACACAGTGGGAGATGGGGCAACTGCCCAGGGTGCAAAGGAGCACTGAGCACCAGTCACCCTTCCAGCCAATCCCACCCGCTGCCTCTCACTTCTCTTTCTCTGGATCCGAATTCAAGTTCAGAGGGACACAGGGACTCTGGAGTTGCTTAGTCCAGGGCACCTTGCAAGGCTGGGGGCAGTTCCGACTAGGGTGAGAAGCATTTGCCCCCCATGGAGTCAGGAGGAGGGAAGGCCCCTGCCTGAGCCCAGGGGAAGCCTCTTGCCAACCCCTGAAGCTCACATGGAAGTTCTTGGTGGGAAGATCAACCCTCAGCATCAAGAAGTGTCTGGATTTTAAAAGTTAGATGAAAGCCGGGTGTGGCAGCGTATGCCTTTAATCCCAACAGAGGCAGATAGATCTGTATGAGATTGAGGCCAGGCTGGTCTACATAGCAAGTTCCAGGCCAGCTGGGGCTATAGGGAGACCCTATCTCAAAAAACACACGGGCTAGAGAACTGGGTTCAGTTCCTAGCACCTACATGGCAGCTAACAACTGTAACTCCAGTTCCAGGGAATCTGACCTCTTCTGGCATCCATGGGCATTGTACACATGTACACTTATAAAAATGCAGGAGTTATTAGAGGAGTGGATTCTGGGGATATGGCTCAGTGAGTATCTTTTACTCCTGCTGTAAAAGAAGAGAACTTGAGTTCAAATCCCAGTGCTCTTGTAAAAGCCATCATCATCATGGCTGTGTGTGCCTAGAACCCACCGTTGTGGAGCAGAGACAGGGGATCCCTGGAGCTCCCTGGCTAGCTGACCCAAACAGTGAGCTTTGGGTTCACTGAGAGATCCTACCTCTAGAAATAAGGTGGAGAGTGATAGAGGAGGAAGCCTGACACTCTGCTCTGGCCTCCACGTGCATGCACATGCCTGCACATACCCAGAATCACTTAAACGGGAGGTGAGCGCCATCCTGGGTTTCCAGTGACAGCAGGCCCTGCTCTTCTAATGGGAGAGGTCTCATAAAGCAGTGGAGGCCTCTGAGGACAGGAAGTCTTTTGGGTACTGCAGACCTCCTCACACCCAAGCAGTACCTCCTTTCACACCAGCCCATGTGCATTTCAATTTTTAATTTTGGGGGGGTTTATTTTTATTTTATGTCTGTGAGTGTTTGCCTGCATGTAAGTGCACCCATGTGTGCAATGCCCACAGAGAACAGAAGAGGGTGTCAGATCCCCTGGAACTGGAGTTAGGGATGGTTATTAACTGCCATGTGGGAGCTGGGACCCAAACCTGGGTCCTCTGCAAGAACAGCGAGTGCTCTTAACTACTTAGGCACCTCTCTAGCTGCCGGTCTGTGTATTTAAGGAAACCATTTATTTATTTATTTATTTATTTATTTATTTATTTATTTATATTTATTTAGGTCTTTTTGAGACAGGGTCTCTCTGTAACCCCAGGTGACCTGGAACTTAAATCAGGCTGGCCTCAAACTCACAGAGATCCACCTGCTTCTGCCTCTCAAGTGCAGGAATTAAAGGCATGTGCCACCACGCCTGGCATTTTATTTATTATTTTTATTTTATGTGTATGATTGTATTGCTTGTAGGTAGATGCACCCATGTCGTGCAGTGCCCTCGGAGATCAAAAGAGGGCATCAGATCCCCTGGGATTGGAATTACGTACAGTTGTTAGTTGCCATGTGGGTGCTGGGAATCAAACCCGTGTCCTCTGTGAGAGCAGTCAGTGATCTTAAGTACTGAGCCATCTCTCCAGCCCTAAAAAACCTAATTTATTTTTATTCATTCTTTTTTTTTTGGTCTTTCTGTAGCCCCAGCTGGCCTGGAACTCACTATGTAGACCAGGCTGGCCTTGAACTCATAGAGATCCACCTACCTCCTAAGTGCTGGGATTTAAAGGTGTGCGCCACCACATCCAGCCATCCAGCCAGGAAACCTATTTAAAAAAAAAAAAAAAGAAGTAAAAAATACAAAAAAAATTGTTATTTTTAAATTTTATGCATATGAGTGTATTGTCTGCATGTATGTAAGTGTACCCATGTTGGGCAGTGTCCAAGAGGGCATCAGATCCCCTAGAACTGAAATTATGGACAGTTTTTAGCTGCCATGTGGGTGCTGGGAACTGAACCTGGGTCTTTAACCAGTCTTAACTGCTCAGCCCCAAGAAGCCTTTTAAGCCTAAACATGGCACACAAGCCTGGAAGCTGCGTAGGACCATGGTGAGGCTGGTGTTCCATGCTGATTGTAGGCTTGAGTGCAGTGCTTTATGGTGCGCCAGGGAATGTGGGGGAGGGACCACAAGAAAGCTGCGTTGAGATTCGGGGTGCTCCGTTGGTCTGGGACAGAGCAGCTGCAGACACTTCAGGCTCTGTGGGCCGTCAGAGGGTATGGCCTGAGATCAGGAAGCCTGGCTTTGCACGGGGCTGTACAGCCTGGGTGGCGGTTTCTAGACTCACAGCAGGTGGCTGACAGACAGCTGCTCTGCAGTACACACACATCCCCTTCGTGCCAGAAGCCTGTATCTGAACTGCTCTGTGCCCACAGATCCCAGCTTCTTGATCTGGATGGGTTCATGTTGGGTAAGCAGAAAAACGCAGCCAGTTGTCAGTTTGGCCAGGGAAGAGGCGGCCCAGCTGAGGGACCCACCATGGGGCTGAGCAGGGGCACAGGGTGGAGGGAAACTGGAGGTGACCTCAATCCTAGGGCGCAGAGGGCCAGATATGGGACAGGCACCCCTGCCTTCAGCACTCAGGCCTTCATGGTGCTGGGGGTAGCTCCATCACACCGCTTGGTGACAGTGCTGAACACCAGCCCATCCTGTCAGGGAAGCTGGGCCGCCTGCCAGTGGTTCCTTTGTGGGCCATCTTGCTGACTGGGCATGTCACTCAGGTGGCCTTGAACAGACCAACTGTAATTTGTGTCACTTGGTCTGTAAATCCAGCAGGGTACAACCAGATCCTCCATCTCCTAGGCACAGCTCGCCCACCGTCTTCAGGGTGACCAACCTGGCTATTGCTGTGCCCCACATGAGGTCAGGAAGCCTCGAGCTGCCCCGAGGACTTTTCCGTCTGCGCTTCATGCTGTGGGCCCCAGGTGTGCTAAGTGGGCACTGAGTGGTAAAAGGACGTGGTGTTCATTGTCCTGTCTTGGAGGACAGCTTGGAGGTGACTAGGCTGCCACAGGCTCATCTCTGTCAGCTTCAGAGAAAGCAGGCTCTCTGCTAGAGTGCCCTTGGCCTGCAGGACTGCACCCCATATCATGCCATCCCCGAGGTCCACCTGTCTAAGACCTGGCGCAAGCTTTGGAATTTTGGTGTTTGTTTTCTTGTTTTGAGACGGTCTCACCATGGAGCCCTGGGTGGCCTGGAACTTGCTATGTAACCTAGGCTGGCCTTGAACTCACAGAAGTCACTTACTCCTCAGGGTTACTGAGGAGGACACAGCAGGGAACATGAACTCCATTTCACCCAGTCGTCCATGCCCAGGGCAAGTTTGAGGTACCCCACTTCAGTCAGTGGGTTATTGGGGGAACCCAGATGACATTAGAGACCAGCATGAGTTGGCAGGGCCAGCAGCTCACCGTTTATGTCTGGAGGGTGTGGTTTCAGTATGTAAAATTAGACATCAGTGACCAGGACATTCACACATGGAGAGTTGCCATGGTGACCCCCCCTTGCCAGTGGTCAGGCATGGGGCCTTTGGGTAAGGAAGATGCTGGGAGTGTACTTAGAGCTCCAGGACACACAGGGGAGCCCTGGACTGCCAGCCCCACATGTGACTTCCACCGCATGTCAGGGTGCTGCCCTTGCTCCTTGGGGTGCAGTGACTGACAGCATCCCTCCATCAGACAGGTTCCTAGCCAGTGTCTTCTGCAGTGTGCCAGGGACCAGTTTCTCCTGAAACTTGGGTTCCAGTGGGGGATAACATCCCAGGTCAATGTCAGAGCCACGCCACAACAGCACGCAAGTGACCATGACACTTACCACAGTGCAGGTGCACACCAAGGCTTGGGTTGTCCCAAGAGGCCTAAAGGGAACCTTATTAAAGTTCCAGAAACAAGGATGGGGAAGGTCCCAGGGCTGGGGAACCCTGCAAGAGCGATGAGTGTAGTCACAATGTGTGTACGTTAACAGGAGGGCTGGAACTGGGGAACAGGGACATGGGAGGGGGGACTGAGGAGCGAGTGGGAAGACCGGAAGCCATCACATGGGTGCCCAGACCCTAGGTTACTAGAGCCCAGCTACAGAGAACTCAGGACGAGGAAGATGTCGCCTTGCCACTGGCTGCAAACCAGGTGAGGCCATCTGGAGCCTCCAGCCATGTAGATGGCAACTGCTTCTGGGAATGCACCCCAATGCCTTCCAGGAAAGGGATGACTCTGGTCTGTATAACCCAAGGTGTTGCAGAGTCCCTGAGCAACCTTAGCTGGAGACCCTTTTCCTAATGCTGTCTATAGCCTACACATCTGCCATGTGATGGAGGGTGCTGGGGCTGGCCTCTTGGGGGTGTGGATCCCAACTGTCAGCTCCCACCTGGGTGGGTACTATAGTTGGTCCAGGATTTGCTGTGTGGCTTGGAGTAAGCATCCCACCCTTTCTGTACCCTTGCTGCCCTCTGTTTTCACACAGTCTGAAAGCCGTGCCAGTGTTTACATTTTTAAAGGATTATAAGCCAAAGCGCCTCTCAGTGAGCAGATGCCGCCCGTGAGCCAAAAGCAGCAACTTTCTGGCCCTTTATGGGAAAAAGCTGGCCAGTACCCGCTGTGGGAGGGTCTCTGCTGGCCTCACTGGCCCTGGCGTTCATTTCAGTTGTTCCTGGGACCCTTCTCATGTTACCCCCTGAGGTCCCCAGGGCCAGCATCCCTTGTTGGGTTCTGCCTGAGCCCTGAGCCTTTTAGACCACAGGACACTGGGCTCTCCTGCCAACTTAAGTGACATCCTCCAGGGGTGCATTGTCCCCCCTTGAGGCTACAGGGTCTGAGGGATGACTGTGTGCTAATGGACCAAAGAGCAGACTGCTCTGGGTAGGAGCTGACCGCAGAGTCCCAGGCCAGCTGGATAAGGCCCTGAGCAGCCTGCTGTGGTCTCTGGTAGTACTGTGTCAGCCACTGTGTCACCAGCTTGCACCCCAAGCCCCCTAGCTCATCCCTCCTTGAAGCTGGCATGCACATGTGCTATAGAATGTTCCAGGGTGAGGGGTAGGAGCCAGGCTGCTCTTATGCCAGACATCCAAATTAAATTCTCCAGGTCGTGGTGGAGACCGCAGCTGCACCTCCTGGTGGCTCCATGTTGGAGATCAGGGTGACCTATGGGTCACTGGAATCAAATCCCATGTGGGGAGTACTTCCTCAACCCCTGGCAGGGGTCCTTGGGGTTCCTGGGCAGCAGGTGATGCTTGTGGTGGAGTGCAGAGGGGTGCCTCCATTGGGAGCTACGGGCCCAGGATTTGGGGAGCTGGGTGCCTCTCACCTCTCCATCCCCCATTTCTCATTGCAGAGATCAGCTGATGGCTCCAGTCCCGAAGCTGGAGAAGGTAAGGAAGTCTCTGGAATACTGGTCTGCCCTGGAGGTAAGCAGGAATCCCACCTGACCCCCCTACCCCTTCTCTAGATTCTGACCATGAAGATGGAAACTACTGCCCTCCTGTCAAGCGCGAGCGGACGTCCTCGCTAACCCACTCAGGTGAGCTGCACCTTGTGCGTCCCCGTCCCTCCCCTCCGCCACTGAAACCAGAGCCAGGGGACATGGGGGCCTGCCTGGAGTCGGTGACACTGGCCTGCCAAGATGGAGTGACCAAGAGAAACTGAGACGGCTATGGCTATAAGTGGAGTTGGAGGGCCACCTACAGAGCCCTTTGAGGACACTGACTGCAAACATGAGTGACACTGGCCAGTGGCATGGACTGCAGGGTAACAGTACTGCATGCATGCTGCGGCCTGGCCTAGGTGTGCAGGGGAAGGGTCCAGACTCCCAGTAGTGAGCACTGGCACACACACAAGGTGGGCACATGCACAGTAGCCTACAGAGCCCTGGGCCCAGATGAGGCCCAGTAGGGGGCGCTGCATGTGTACACCAGCCCTGGGGCTCCCACAGGGACTGGTGCAGTAATGAGACAGGATCCACGCAGAGGCCCCCAGGCTGCTTAGTGGGGGTCTGACAAAGTACAGCTGCCGCTTTAGCCATGGGGTGCCCTTCAGGTTTGGGAGTGACTACTGCTTTGCAGCCATTCCCTCTGCCCTGAGTGGCAGGGCCCATTGGCAGAGCCTCAGGTGGTATGGACAGACATGTCCCCAGCTGCCCACTGCGGGGTTGTTGCTGTCTAGGAAGGAATCTAGCCTTCCACCGCCAAGCCTGCCATCCACGCTCTAGGAGTCCGCTGGGGGACTGTTGAGGGCAAGGCCAGCTTGGGCAGCTTAGCCGAACTTAACCACGTGGGTAAGCACAAGGCCTGGATCTTGTCCCTGTACAGAACAAAACAGGAACCAAGTGGGGGGAGTGCAGCAGGGTGCTGGCCAGGCCTCAGAGACACTCAAAGCATGGTATGTCATCAGCTCCTCAACACTGTCCTGGATCCTGTTCGAGGCAGGCCTGACATCTTACTCTTTAGAATACACAGGTCATTTTTCATGTTTTCACAGAAAAGCAAAATGGGCTGGGGCTCAGTTGGTAGGGCACTTGCCCAGCATGCACAAAGCCCTCCGTTTGAATCGCAGCATTGCATAAACAAGGCGTGGTGGTGCACACCTGTTGGAGGATGAAGAATTCAGGGTCATCCTCGACTGCAGAGTTAGAGGCCAAACTGGGCTACATGAGACCCTGTCTCCAAAAAATAACTACCAGCATGCCCAATGAGAAGGCTTCCCCTTGCGGCAGTGACATTTTGCCCTTTTTTGGTTACTGAGTGCCCACAGTCGTGACTGTCACCTGGGTCAGTACCCTTCACCACGGCTGTGGGCCACAAAGGGCGCTCGAAGGTTGGCCAAAAGGGCTTTTCAAAAAAGCCAAAAATGGGCTTTTCACCTGAGAGCCAACCCTGAAATTTCCCCATAAAAGATTTCACAAGCAAGTTCAACAGCTGCAATCCTGTGACTTGACCCACTTAGTGTCAGTTCACTGCAGGCTCAAAGGCACCCCACGCCTCCCTGGTGGTGTTGGCCGGGCAGACCATTTGTAATGGTCAGAGCCCTTTCCACTCTAGAAGTGAGCCACTTTGAGCCATCCCTGCCTTCCCTTGAAGATTGTGATTCTTCAGTATCCCCAGGCACGTGGCGGTCGCTGTCCCTGGATGCCACACAGCACGTGGCATTGTGAGTGGTGGAGAGCTCACTGTCAGCTCTGGTTTGGTCCCCTGGGGGCAGCAGGTGGCAGCAGTTCTAATGCTCTGTCAAGGTCTGTCTGGTCTCACATCTTCCCCCTTCCCTCCCTGGCAGTCTCCTCACCTTGACCCCCTACATCTGGCACAAGGTGACCCTAGGAAATGGGCAGCTTAGACCGCTATCACAGCTTCTCTGCCTTGCCTGGGAGCACCTTCAAAAGAGATCCCCAGCCTTGTCAGCCTGCCCACCTTGATTTGTGTTCATATGTGTGCACATGTGCATGGTGAGTGCTCATGAGTGTGTGCCCACGTGTGTGTGGGGACCAGAGTCAGACATCTGTCTTCCTCTCTTGCTCACTGCCTGATCCTCTTGACACAGGGTCTCCCTGAGCCAGAAGCCTGCAACTCTAACCAGCTGGCTAGGCTGGCTCAGGGTCAACTGTCTCCACCCCCAGCTTTTTATGTAGATGTAGAGGATTCAAACTCTTAGGCCTGGGCCATCTCTGCAGCCCCTCAGTTCTGTCTTCACTTGAACTTAAAAGACTGTAAACCTGACAGAAGAAACACCAGACCCTTCCCTGTCCCTTTGTCTGGAGGCCTCCATGACCTCCAGTACAGGAGCCCCCCACCCCATGGCTTCCGGCACAGGGACGTCCCCACCCACCCCATGGACCTCAACACAGGGAGTCTCTACTACCCAGGGCCTCTCCATTTCTTTGAGAGAGCTCTCCAGGACTGAAGGTCCTGTGTCAGTATCAGACCTAGGGACTGCATCCTGGGGAACCCACAGGGGCAGCCCCAGTAGTGATGGCCCCAGGTCCAGCCTACCTGGTCCCCTCTTTCTGTCCTTTCATGGGGCTTGAGTAGTCATTTGATCCCAGGCCTGGAGTCTCTGCTATTCTCAAAGGATCCAAGGTCTATAGTGCGGTGAGCTCCCTAGAACCAGGGTGCTCAGGGTGACCCCGCCCCTTTGCTGCCCCACAGGGCGTGGCCCTGTTCCTGGGCAGATGGGAACGGTGCTGGGAACACGTGTCCCCACCTGCATGGGTCATTCTGTCTCCACCCACAGATGGCCCGGATCAGCTGGATTCTCCCCACCCCTTCCCCAGCATGGGTAGCCTTCTAGCACCCTGCAGTTCTTCCTGACAGGAAGAAGTCTGGCCTCAGCCTGGTGTGGTGGCGCACACACACCTGTCACCCAGTACTAGGGCAATAGAGGCAGGAGGATCAGGCGTTCAAGATCATCCTCAGCTGTATAGTTTGAGGTCTTCCTGGGCTACATGAGAAAGAAAGAAACATGGTATATGCAGTCCCTCATTGCCATGTCCCCAGCTTATCCTTCCCCAGTCCACAGCCCTCCAGGCCTCTGCTCCAGAAGCCCCTCTGGCATCTGGGGGCTGCCAGGTTCAGTTTAGCAGATATGTCCTCATGTGAGCAGCTGTGCACACTGCCTTCCAGAGGCTGTGCCAGCTCACCCTCTGATGGGGTGAGGTTTGTCTCCTGGGCCCTGCCTAGAGTCACACACAGCCACTCTGGTGCTAGTGAACCATGTTCAAGATGGCTGAGGAGCTGGTGGGCATGTCTGTGGATGGGGCTGATGAGGTAGGTCCCCATCCACCCTGTCTTCGCCCTGTCTGTCCAACTGGTCACAGTAGTGCCCAGTGTGCATTACTTGTATCCCTGTGCATGACAAACCTCTAGGCGCCATGCTAGAGCTAGTCAGTGACCATCACGGTCCCTGTGGCCTATAATGCCACCCCCAATCTCACTCTTCGGGGAGCAGGGTGTCTAGGGATTTCTGTGGCCAAGACTCAGGCCATGAAACCAGTGGGGCTTCCAAACAGTTCATTTACTTGGTTTATGAACTTGACCTCCCCATCACTAGCCAGAATCCTGTGTGACCCTGTGCTGTGATGGGGAGCAGGCTTAACACCCATCACTTGGGCCCAAGTGCTGCCCTGACCCAATGGTCCCCAAGGTCAGCCACTGGGCTCCCCACTATGACCTGTCTTTGTTCCCAGTCAGAGTCACGTGTGACAGGATGCCTGCATCACTTCAACTTACAGTTGAGTGGTATATCCAGACTTAAACTAACACCCAAGATGCTCCATCCCTACTCGGCCTCCTTCCTCAGCTGACATCCAGTTGCCAGGCATCCCCATAGCCCCTGGTTCTTGTACCTACCAGCTCTGTTTGTCTGCTGTTCATCCTTGTCAGTGAGCCACAGGCACAGCCCCCTGGGCCCATCCTGACCCGTAATCTTTCCTGGAGGCAGGTCCTAGGCCCCTTGATTGGGGTGCCTAGCATCCCCTCTCTGATGAAGGGCCTGATCCTGGTGGAGGGGTCACCCTGACTCGCCTCCTGGACCTCCCTCCAGGCTCCACAACTGCTAGGGCCCCTTGCTCCCTGATGGAACCTGGATGGTTGTTGGGGTCCTGCAGGCTGCTCAGCCATGTCTTGTGCTTACAGAGGAAAAGAGCAGCGGCTTCCGCCTCAAGCCCCCGACGCTGATCCATGGCCAGGCGCCCAGCGCAGGTTGGTGACAGTCCAGCTCCCATCCTGATCCTGTTTGCTGTGGACTGTGATTGACACTTCAGGAAGTCCTGGGAAGCTGCTTAGAGAGCAGGCTGGACCAGGATGCTGGGCCATTGTAGGCCTGGGGACTATGTGTGCTGGCCTGGTCCTGAGCAGTTGTTGGAAGTCATAGGTTGCCTGGAGTGTTGACTGGACCGCACGGGTGGGGTGGTATCCCTGTAGAGGACAGCAGTGTTCTGCATGGGCTAGCCTGTGGTCTAGTGTGGTCTAGCCTGAGGTTTGCCAGCAGTGCCCTGCCCTGCAGTGGGAGGGTGGCTCTGCCCGTTGGGCACTCTGTTCCAGGTCTGCACTCTGTTCCAGGTCTGCCCAGCCAGAAGCCCAAGGAACAACAGCGCAGCGTGCTCCGCCCAGCTGTGCTGCAGGCCCCACAGCCTAAGGCGCTGTCACAGACAGGTAAGGAAGCACAGCTTGCCCTTGGCAGTGCAGAGGGAAAGTGGCCATGACAACCTTCTGAACCCTCCTGCACTCTCACACCCCCACTCTTGAAGGTGTGACTCTCGCTTGCAGACCCTGACAGGGCTGAGCCACAAGTAGTTCTCCAAGATTCTTGTTTTGACCAGGTGTGGAGCTGGCAAGATGGCTCAGTGTGTTACGGTGCTTGCTATTTTGTCGTGACTAGGGCTGGGTTTTTGTGAGACAAATTCTCACCTTGCAGCCCAACCTGCCTCAAAATTGAAATCCCCCTGCCTAGACATGATGCCAGATTCCCTCCGTGGTTTCGTGTCACTGAGTCATACAGGGTTTCATTACTGGCCCTGCATGTGCTAGGCAAGTGTCCCTCTGAGCCACACCCCCAGCCCTTTATAATAAAAAAAATTTTTTTTTTAATTTTATGTGTATGAGTGTTTTGCCTATATGTATGTAAGTGCACCCATGCTTGCAATGCCCACATAAGCCAGAAGAGGGCATTGGATCCCCTGGAACTGAAATTAAGGACTGTTGTTAACATGTGGGTGCTAGGAACCAAACCCAGGTCCTCTGCAAAGCAGCCAGTGCTCTTAACTGCTAAGTCAGCTCTCCAGCCCCTTTCTGTGTTTTGTTTTTCCCTTTTTGGGTTTTTTGACACAGGGTCTCACTGTGTATTTGTAGTTGGCCTGAAACTCACAAAGCCTGTCTCCAATTTTCGTAGGAGTTTGTGGAGATTTCACTAGTAAGATGGGTTGCACAAATTCATTCACGATTGTTACCAGTATATTTCCCTTTTCCTTTGTTTTTCTGACCAGTCCTGCTTCAAAATGTACTGGAAAACCAGTTCTTCTTTGAGTCTTTTGGGGGAGTGTGCAATACTGGGGATCAAACCTAGTCCCCCCATCCCCACGCACATGAAGCCATGCCCCAAGGTGCCTAAGTGTCTTCTAGAATAAAGATAAAGGACCCTTAGCTAAATATGGTGTTTCAGGCCTTTGATCCCAGCTCTCAAGAAGTACAGGCAGGTGGTCTTTGTGAAATCAAGATCAAGCTTGATCTATAAAGCAAGTTCCAGGTCAGCTGGGGCTATAGGAAGACCCTGTCTCAAAAAAGAAAGTGGACCTTCATGTCTGAGAACTTTGAGGCAGTTTTGGGTTTTATCTTAAGAATTCGTGGCTTTTAGTGGTCTCCTTAGATGGGATCTGCACCATGGCCAGCTGCATGGGGGCCCAGGGAACCCTTGCCATTATCCCCCCTGCCCTCCTTCCCCCCCACAGTCCCCAGCAGCGGCACTAATGGGGTGAGCACGCCAGCAGACTGCACAGGGCCAGCAACGTCCACCTCACCAGAAAACCCTGCACAGAGATGTCCCTCTGAGCCAGCCGAGGAGACACGCGCACTTGAGGTGGGTGGGTTCTCTGTTGGGGGGAGGGGGTGCTATGCCCAGGCCCTGCTGTGTGTCACCTGGAGGACAGTTTGGTCATGGGCTTCTTTCAGAGTTCCCTGAACAGCTCTCACTGAACAGCTGTACCTGAGTTGCTCCATCTTCTGTGGCTATAGTAAAACACCTAGGCAGGGTAGATTTAGAAGAAAAACTGTTTAGCCAGGCATGGTGTTGCATGCATGCCTTTGTTCCCAGGACTTGGGAGACTGAGGCCCACCCAGTGTACATAGCAAGTTCTAGGTCGGCTGGGCTATAGAAAGACCCTGTC